TGGACTTCAGGAAAAGTGCTCCCCCCCCCCAGTAAGTTTGAGGGAATACTAGATGAAATTTTATGGGCAGAAATTCTCAAGGAGTCCAGAGATGGACATAAAAGAGAGCTCAACACAAAATAAAATACAAATGCAAGTGTAGACAATACTTTTATATTTCTTTAAAATATTTCTAGGCCACCTTCCTCCCAAAAAAAGGACCCAAGGCGGTTTACATCATAAAAAACAGTATTTAAAAGCTAAAACAGTAAGTATACAAATATTTAAAAAGAATTAAACAAGTATTAAATGGTAGCTAAGATCAATGTTAGATACGTGGTGGCGCTGCGGGCTAAACCGCAGAAGCCTGTGCTGCAAGGGTCAGAAGACCAAGCAGTCATAAGATCGAATCCACGCAACGGAGTGAGTGCCCGTTGCTTGTCCCAGCTCCCGCCAACCTAGCTGTTCGAAAGCATGTTAATGCGAGTAGATTAATAGGGACCCCCTCGGTGGGAAGGTAACAGCGTTCCGTGTCTAAGTCGCACTGGCCATGTGACCACGGAAGATTGTATTCGGACAAAACGCTGGCTCTATGGCTTGGAAACGGGGATGAGCACCGCCCCCTAGAGTCGAACACGACTGGACAAAAATTGTCAAGGGGAACCTTTACCTTTACCTAAGATCAATATTAAAACCCGTTTACAGTGTGTTTTATATACCACTAAAAAATAATCATACAGCACAACAAGCTTTTGTGGGTCAGGATCAGTGTGAAGAATTTAAAAGTCCACGAGTTCATGGCAAGAGGGATTTTGTCAGGAAATGCAAAAACAAAACCTGTTTACAGTGTGTTTTATAAACCGCTAAAAAAAAATAATCAGACAGCACAACAAGCTTTTGTGGGTCAGGATCAGTGTGAAGAATTTAAAAGTCCACGAGTTCAAGATGGATTTCACCAGGCACATCTTTCTCAGATGTAAGTCAGGAAAGAGGCAGCCAGTATTTGAGTTGTTTTAAAGTTACAGCCAAGGCAATTATGTATTGTATATTTGTTGTGTGATATCTGGGGTACTGAATAAGAATATATTTAAAGATACTGTATAGGGGGAGATTTTATTGCGTATAAATAAAACGGAAAGATCAGTTACCTACACAAGAGACATTACAATTTTAGAGAGAATGGGGGCAATTGAATAATATAATTTTAGAGAGAATGGGAGCAATTGAATAATACAATTTTAGAGAGAATGGGGGCAATTGAATATCAGAAGTATCCATGTTGGTCTTAGTGATAGGATTTTGGGTAAATGTTGATTGTTATATTGTATTTTGTTTCATATGTTTCTTTTTTTTTTAAGCGAGGCTCTGTCATTTTAGTAATCTAATGAAAGTAGCACCAATTCTTGTCTTTAGTTTGTGTAGAAAACTGCTGTTTAGCAAAGTAGTATTAGTATCTGGCTATGATGGGGAAGAGACGAATGTGGAATGAGGAAATGATGCTATACTTGGGCATGAAAGTGAATCTGGAAAATTGTGTTGCTGGGTCAGATCAAACAGAGGCATTATAACAGATAAAAACATTTCCTGAATGGAGAAGCTATCCTTGCATTAGTTGCATACTGTTTTTTATATTATGCATTCTTGTATTTGACAGTTTGTACTTTGGAATGATCACTTAAAGCTATAAAAGAGTAACTATTTTGTTACAGGCACTCCTCACTTAATGACCTTCCTGTTTTACGACTGCTCTGACTTATGGTGACCTTTTTTTGTACTGGACAACAAGATGTCAGCTAAAAGGAAGAACATGACTTCACCCAGAGGAAGCACCAAGATTCGAAGGAAGGCTATAGATCTTGAGATGAAAATGAAGATAATAAATGAATATGAAGCTGGTAAAAAAGTGAAAGAGATAGCACGTGATTTGGAGCTGGCACATTCAACCGTTTCAACAATCTTGAAAGATAAAAACAGAGTTAAAGAGGCAGTAAAAGCATCAGTAGGGTTTAAAGCCATAATAACTAGGCAGAGAAAAGGCCTCATCCATGAAATGGAAAAATTACTGGCCATCTGGTTTGATGACCAGATACGAAAAAGAATGCCAATGAGCCTTATAATAATTCAAGCCAAGGCACGCAGTATCTTTGAAACATTGAAGGGACGTGAAGGGGAAGAATCAACGGAAACATTTACGGCAAGCCATGGATGGTTTCAGCGGTTCCGTCGAAGATTCAACCTGCATAATCGGAGTGTCAGCAGTGAGGCGGCAAGCTTGGACATAGACGCCGCGGAAAAGTTTGTTGACCAATTTGACAAAATTATTGAGGAAGGCAGATACCACCCGGAACAGATCTTCAATGTGGATAAAACTGAGCTTTTTTGGAAAAAAATGCCTGGAAGATCCTACATATACAAAGAAGATGAAACAATGCCCGGTTTCAAGGCTTTTAATGACAGGGTCACCTTGTTGTTGGGAGGAAATGTCGCTGGCTTCAAGTTGAAGCCTTTTCTCATCTATTGCTCCGAGAACCCACATGCATTGATGCAGGTTAATAAGGTTAATAACACCCTGCCTGTTTACTATCGTTCAAATAAAAAGGCACGGATGACGCAAGCTTTATTTGAAGATTGGTTCACCAATTGCTTCATACCCTCGGTCAAGCATTATTGTCTAGAAAAGGGCATTCCCTTTAAAATTATCCTCCTGCTTGATAATGCTCCAGGCCACCCCCAGCATCTTGATGGTCTACACCCGAATGTAAAGGTAGTGTATCTGCCTAAAAACACAACTGCTATCCTACAACCAATGGACCAAGGGGTTATAGCTAAGTTCAAAGCATACTATTTGTGCAAAACGTTTTCCAAAGCTGTAGCAGCAACAGAAAATGATGAAATAACCCTTCATGATTTTTGGAAATCATACAACATTTTACACTGCATAAAGAACATTGAATCAGCTTGGGAAGAAGTGACAGAAAAGTGTATGCAAGGAATATGGGAAAAATGCTTAAAATGTTTTGTGAATAATTCCGAAGTGTTTGACAAAGATGAGCGTATTGATATCGTACATAAAACAATTGTGGATCTTGCTAATGTTCTTAATTTAGATGTTGAAGTGGAAGATATTGAAGAATTAGTGGAATATGTTGAGGGAGAGCTAACGAACGAAGATTTAATAGAGTTGGAAGCCCAACAGCGCTTGGAAGAAGCAGAAGAAGAGGAAAAAGTGGAAGTACAAAAGAAGTTCACTGTAAAAGGATTAGCTGGTGTGTTTTCGAAAGTGAATGCTGCTCTGTTAGAACTAGAGGGTATGGATCCGAATGTTGAACGGTTCACAAGAGTGGAACAGCAAATGAATGAACTTTTACGATGCTATCGTGAAATTTATGAAGAACAAAAGAAACTTACAAAGCAGACCACAATATCAAGATGTTTCTCGAAAGCTACACCCAGGATCTCTGCCCCTAGAAGTATTTCCATCTCACCACTGTCGTCTCGCTTACCCGGGCCGTCCACATCTCCTGATGATAACTCCGATGATGACTTCAAACCACTGCCACGCTTTGAAGGAATCAATGACTAATTTTTTGGTCCTGTACATCATTTTTATAATTTTGGCTGATTGTATTTTTATGCTCTGCAACATGTAAGAGATGCAAATTAAAACAAAGTTACCAAGTTGGTGTTTCCTTTATTCCTACCGGATTTATATTACTGTATTATGTTGTGGTGTGTCGTCTGCTTTTTGTATGGATAGAATTACAGTACTGTGTTCTAGTGTGGTGTCGTGTGATATCTATTGAAAAAGACGGTGCCATGACAAACCACAAGATATCTGCCTTTAAGCTCCTCACTTATCGACCAATGCTCGTTAAGTGAGGAGTGAGTGCCTGTATTCAGGGGCAAACCACTTGAATGATCCTCCAGCTTTCAAAACTAATAAAGCTTATAGTTTTGATACTATGGTTCACTCTGTGTTCTTTTTGCCAGCCCTCAGCTAGTGAATTGGGATACGTCTTCTTTAACAGAGAAGAGCCAGAGCTTGGGAGTTAGGTTCCCCCTTGTGCTTCCTTGAGTTTAGATGATCCATAGGGTCCCTTCCAGCTCTGCAGTTCGAAGATGATGATGATTAGGACCATGTGTTTTTTTTTCTCTTTTGTTAGCAAAAATGAAAAAGAAAAGTGTGCTGCTTATAGACTGCCCCATAGCGCTTAAAGCACTCTCTGGGCAGTTTACAAATTAATAATGCAGGCTACACATTGCCCCCACCCACCCCCAGCAAGCTGGGTACTCATTCTGCCAACCTTGGGCTACCTTGGAATGAACCTCAGGTCGTGAGCAGTTTTGGCTGTCACAAGGCTCCCTTGTTAGGAGCTGCAAAGTTATTTTCATCATCATCTTAAAAAACTGCAGAGCTGGAAGGGACCAATGGATAATCAAGTACAGCCCCTGTCAAAGAGGCACAGTGAGGAACTGAACTCCCAGACACCTAAAAAACTGAGCTATCCAGCAGTTCTTCAGATGTAATGTGTAATACCTACATTAATTAGCTGTAACTAGGAACACCTATTTCTTTCCAGAATTTACTTCTAAAGGCATCTCTTCAGGTTTTATGTAATTCTGTTATCCTAAATGGGAACTACACTTTGGTTTTGTCTTGTATTTGTGTTGTAATATTTCCATAGTGCAATATAAGAATCTTAACCGGGCAGACTTGCACTGAGACAGGCAGTCCCACAGATAGCAAAATCTGAAGGTCAGACTCACCAACCCACCACTGGTGCCTCCAAGATTTACTAAATTGTCAATCCCGACATTTCTGTCTGAATTGGGATGACAGCAGTTATCATCTACTGTATGTTGGGAAAGCTGCATTAGGCTGTTTAGAATTCTGGAGGCTAAAATTCTGCATAGATTGCAGCAAACAGATTGCACCACCTGTGGTGATCTTTCAGTATTGGGATCATACCATATGCTGCTATTGGCTTAGCTACTCCTTTTTTACAGCTTCATTCCTACTGAAGATTCCAAATAAATGTAAAGGAAAGCTTCATACTAAAGGATTAGATTAGGCGTCCTTCAGTTTCGAGAGACAATGGTAACGTGCTCGGTATGGAGGGCTTGGAACAGTGTATAGTGTGGCTAAGAAGGCCAATTCGAGAGTGACCATCCCTTCCACACTGAAGACAAATCCAATCTGTCCCCTGTCCAGCTCCCTGATTTTCCTGGTTTCGTGACTCCCTCTTTGCCTCAGCCTGCTGGACAAGGGTTTCTTCAAATTGAGAGAGGCCGTGATGCACCGTCTGCCTCCAGGCTGAACGCTCAGAGGTCAGGGTTTCCCATCTGTTGAGGCCCATTCCTAAGGCCTCATAATAAAGGAAAGCTTCATCAAAGATGATGGAACTAGATGATGGATGGGTAAATATTGCCAGTTCAATATGCTCTTATTAGACACCAATTAAGGAAATAATAGCTGGCTAGATATCTCATGTATCTGGTTGGGAGTCTGAGTCCCCATTGTGTCTCCTGTGAGTAGAGCCAGCCTGCATAGCCTTGGGCAAGCTGCAAAATCCCAGGGTTCCCCCTCCCCCCAGAAAGAAGGAAATATTTTATTTCTGAGTATATTGGAAAACTGAAAAGGGTTACCATAAGTCAGAATTGACTTGACCGCACATATTATTTTAAGGAAATATGTTATTGTCTGAGAAACTGAGTTCTGAGCAAACTATCTGAAGATTTGAAAAATAAGTACAAATTCCACTCACTTTTTGTGTGACTTACTAGATTTAATGATTTTTATATTTTTTTCTGATTACATCTCAAGCAAATACAGATAAAAGCATTTCAAAGATTCTAAAATCTGTGTGTTCCACCATTGGAAGTGAAGTTTACAGTAGAGCAAAGGAAAGAGTTTTTTCAGTGGTGCTATTAATGTTGTGGGAATCATCCCCCCCCCACCTCCGATCTTGAAAGCTTATCTTTCCCCTTATAGGGCATTTTAACTGCTGGATGTTTGATTTCAAATTCTGGGATCTGTAAGACATTGCTGGCTGCTTATTCACTTGTCCGTTCTGTTGATTTTCCGCTTATTCTTTTTTCATTATTTTTTCCCCAGTTAAAAAGCAAAGGGGGGGCTTTTCCCTCTTCTCCTCCTGAGTAGGCTACTAGGGAAGGAACAAATCACTCCTACCAGACTACTTGTAGAGGGTTTGAGAAAAGAGAAACTGGGCCAAGAGCTGAGGCTTTGTCTGTGCCTGTATTCTGGGGCTTTTGTGTGACATACAGATGCCGTCCTAAATGCAAACACTCTAAACCAGGAAGTTTAAACACTGCGCCAATCAAGCTAAGCAACTGCCACCGTTTGGATTTTCAGGCTGGGCACTGTTAGGATTATGGTGTGTACCTGCATGTCATGAAGAAGTGCATACAACATCCTATAATACAAGTGCGGACAAACTGCAGGAACCTGTACAAAAGATACAGTACTAATTTAAATTGTTTTATTTTCTATTATCTTGCCTTTGCTAGTCAACAACAAGGGCGAGAAGTGAAACTCTGCCCCAGCTGTTGCAAGCTGTGTTCAGTTGCTGTCTCTGAGATTTTTAGTAGCACTGGCTCATCCCCTTCACGAGGTTTTCACAGCCATAAGAACTCCACACATTGGCAAACAAAACAAATATTTTCAGGAAGCAGAAGCCTTTCTTCCGCATCTAGAACAACAAAACATGCACACACATTTACACCCCCACGTCTTTGCTTGTGGTTCAACATATACAAGCCTCACAACACAAAGAGCAAGCATACACGTGTAGTACAGAAGAACTTTACAACTTGCAAATACCGAAGTAAAACAGGCAATAGACGAAATTTACAAAAATATCTTTTTTATTAAAAAGCAGCCATTGCTGAACAGGACAGGACTACTGGAACAAAATGTATACTTTATGAAGTTCAACTGGTCATGGAAGCAGGGGAAACTACTGTGAAAGCAGTCAGAGTGCTAGCAGTTTGGCTGATTATTCTGACACACACACACAAAGCAATGTTGTGTTCTTAGGAGTCAGTTATCGGAGTCTATCCCAGCGCCAGATACTGGCATCATCACACACAGCAATAAGGATGCTGCTATCTCGGCTAAAGCTGGTTTGTCGAATTGCAGCAGCGCACTTTGGATGAGTAAGTGTGGTACACCTACGGAAAGAGATTCAGCATCACATTAGGAGTTTTGTTTTCATTCACATCAGTAACACTGTTATCACATCAAAGGTTTGGGACCTCGGTACCTATCGGAGCGTCTGTCCCATGCCACCCGTTCCTCTCAGGCCATGGTCCTCTGGATTGCCACTCTTTAGGGAGGCTAGGAATTCATGAACCAGAAACAGGGCCTTCTCCGTCATGGCCCCATCCTTTCGGAATGGGCTCCCAGTAGAGCTACTCTTGGTCTCCTCCTTTACAGCATTCAAGAGGATACTCAAAACAAGTATGTTGACCTCTTTATTTTTAGACTGTTCGTCATTGTTCAGTTTTCCATCAACTGATGGGTGTTTTACTTGATTATATGTGATGTTTGTAACATTTATCACTACAGTGGTGCCTCACTTAACGACGATAATCCATTCCAGGAAAATCGCCGTTAAGCGAAAACATAATGCCAAAAAAAAATAAAAAAAAAAAATAAAAATAAAAAAAAACCACATACACAATTGAAATGCATTGAAACCCCTTCAATGCGTTCCAATGGGGTCAAAACTCACTGTCCAACAAAGATCCTCCATCGGGCAGCCATTTTCGCTGCCTGTCTTGCGAGGAATCCATCCCAGAAAACAGCGGGGAGCCATTTTGTTTACCCGGCGGCCATTTTGAAACCGCCGATCAGCTGTTCAAAAAACGCTGATTTGCGAAGAATCGGTTCCCAAAGCAGGGAACTGATCATCGCAAAGTGAAAAAACCCCATTTAGACCATTGTTTTGCGATCGCAAAATGATCGTCATAATGCGGTTTCGTCGTAGTGCGAGGCAATCGTAAAGTGAGGCACAACTGTAATTTGTGCAGCATACAAGTCAAATAAATGAAAAGTCATTTAGCATTAAGTTGTAAAGAGAGTCTTCAAGAGTGTATGGACACATCAGGGAGGATTTAGTACTATTTAAAACAGAGAGACAAGAACAAAGGAAGAAGATACATCTTTCTGACATGAAAACTGGAAACAAGGTTCAGTTGGCAAATATGAGATGTAATAATTATTATTCAAAAATACCAGGCACAATCAATCAAAATTATAAAAACATTGGTTAGTATGTATATAACAGATACAAGTTTTAACCAAAAGGTTAAGTATCTATTAAATATTGGCACCAGCATTGTTGAAGGGAGAAGTGTATTTTACTCCCTTCAACTTCTCAAACTACAGTTATATAAAGACACACGCCTGTCTCTTCTCTAGTACTTAGAAGAGACAAAGTGTGGAATAAGCATTCAAGATACTCACTTGGCCTTATGAGGATCTTCTACTTCTAAATCCCAGACATAAAGCTTGCCAACCTGATTGCCCAGAGCTAGCATCTGGAAAACACAAGATGTACAGAGGTCCTGCAACAATCTATACTTCCTTTAGTTTTTACAAAGAAACAGTTTCAAGATTACAACTTGCTCTAGGGCAGGGGTCCCCGGGTCTGTGGCCATGGCAGGACTGGACTGGACTGTGGAGACAGATCTCCTCCCCCCCCCGCATGCACTCCTCCCACCCACGGCCCGCCACCCACACGCACAGCCCCTCCGCGCATGTGTACAAGCACGCTGCACACCTCCGCGAGCACACTCCGTGCATGTGTGCAAGTGCACCCCTCTGTGAGTGGAGGGGTGTCCCACCGCCCCCCCAACCGGTCCACAATTCAAAAAAAAAGGTTGGGGACCACTGCTCTAGGGAACCTGTGGCCTCAAGATGTTCCTGGACTGCAGCTCCTGGCAGTTCCAGCCAGTGTGGCCAGTGATAATAAATAATGGCCACTGTTATTCAGCAACTTATGGAGTGCCAATGATCCCTCACTCGTGCTCTAAACAGCCAAGCCAAATAAACAAGATTGGCCAGCTAAAGCTTCTAGTCCACATATCAAGTTACCTAGTCCTGACGTGCACTGGCAGTATCCTTCTGGTGGGTTACATGCTAAGGGCGTTAAGCAACAACTTACTAAGTAGTAGCAAGTCACCATTGCGATTTACACGATTCCACTTACGTTGTCATAACTAACCAACAGGATTCTGGCCACTGTGTTTTAGCAGTTATATAAGGCAAAGACTGGAAAAGAAGGATTGATCTGGGTTGCACATTGTTTTTATAGACAATGGCCTGATTCAGATGAGTCTTTGGGCTATGAGCTCCTTCCTTATGAGTTCCCTCCATCACCACACTTACAAAGAGACTGGCAGCATCTGTGTGATAAGAAATTCAGCGAATTATGGTTTACAATTACTTAAGCTGTTCAAACGAGTCAGCTTCAAGCCATGTTGCTGCCTTGCCCTACAGATATCCAGCTCTGGGCTCCAACAGTAAGCCATGGAGAGCTTTCAGTCTCCTTCTGCGGCCACACGTGAGGTGAAGGGAGCATCTAAGTCACAGCCATATGCCCAGAGCTCAGAAATGCCTTATACTTAAGCCAAATTGTTGGTTTACTATCAAATGGCCTGTGGTGAAGGATGTTCTTCCTTGAGATCATACACAGAATCTGAACTTAAAATATCTTAGGCTTCATGCTTGAAAATTCTAGTTTCTAATACAATTTGTGGCAAAAATATATTTGAACACACATTATCCGCACAAATTCCACTGGGTCAAATCCTTATATAGGATAATTATTATAACCACATAATCCTATAATTATTTATTTATTTATCCTATATAATATTATATTATTTATCCTATATAATGATAATCCTATCTTTATAATCCTATATAATCCTATAATTATATAGGATATAATTATCATTATATAGGATAACTATATCCTATATAAATCCTTATATAGGATAATTCACAGTGGCCAGAATCCTGTTAAAATTATCCATTGGCAAAAGGATAATTTTTCCTTGTTTTACCATTACTACTGCCGCCCATCCAGAACATGTGTACCTACCCACCTCGTTTGTCACAGATAAGTGATTTAAGAAACTGCTAGCAAACTAAAATAGTTTATATAAAATTATGTTCCCTTCTGTAAGATATTTAGGTTTAACCAGCCAAATGCTTTGCTGAAGATTATCAGCATCCTTATAAGATCAGCTTCTGTCCATTTGTCTCACTCACTCCCATATGCACGCATGCATACTTCTATACTCAAAATGTGAAATAGGACACACAGTAACAAGGACTGCGGACAATCCTAAAGCACACAAAGCTGAACGAGTGACAGTATAGAGCCAGGTCTTCCAGTGTTTCTCTTCTACCTCTCTCTCTTGAGACAGGGAGTTTATCTCTTTTAAATGTCAACTGAGTCCATCACCCGTCAGTACCAACCTGCACAGCCAATAATCTAGGACAGGGGTCTCCAATGTACGGCCTGTGGGCCACATCCAGCCCGCCTGGCCTTTTTATCTGGCTCGTGCGTGTGGGCAGTCAGGAGTCCAGACAGGTGGGAGTGCATGCAGGTGGGTGGGTGGCACTGTGTGCGAGCACGCACGTCTTCCTTCGGCCCTTGAAAATATCAAAAATATATTATGTGGCCCTCTGTTGTAAAAGTTTGGAGACCCCTGGTCTAGGATGATAAAAGCTACAGTCCAACACCATCTATAAGGACAGAGGCTTCTCACCTCCAATGTCCACACCTCCCATGTTGTCTCCATGCCTCTCTGAACACCATCCATGCACTAGGCTGACCTTATAAATTCTCAACATCCTTTGTCCTTACCTTTTGCCAGAAATCCATGGAAAATCTCATATACCAAATATCACACTGACTGTAATCAAATCTTCCCAAAATAGTCACATTCGACTCACTGGGCTTAATTTTGTCTATATCATCTTCCATTTTGCCAGGCTTCCAGCACACAATGGCATTTTCACAGGACTGTAGAGAGAAGGAAAGATATTGCAACATAAGCCACAAACCATTCTCATTTATCAAGGCTGATATTCATAGGATACAGACTGTTCATCACACCTATCAATTGCATTTTATTGTTGAGAGTGTGTGTCTCATCCAATACAAAATTCTTGCTCAGTTCAAAGGAAAACGCCACCCCACTGCATTCCCTGCTTTCATAGTCCATGAATTGAAAAGCGTCTCAGTCTTCTAGCAATTGGAACCAAAATATATACATGAAAATGGTTTTAAAACTGAAGCAATTCTGACCTTGGAAAGAATGAGGTCTCCCAGCCATCTCACACAATCTACATAATTCCTGTGTATATCCCTGGTAGAGAAGTCAGGGAAGTGGATCTTCTGAGAGACAAATGGCCTGCAGAGAAAAGAATTAACATATCCAGTTAACAAAAGGATGATGTTGGTGGCGCAGGGAGAAAAGGCAAATGCTTTGAGTGGAGAGATGGCCAGAGAACTGTTGTTGGGGAGTAAGGACTGTCCTTACCTGTTGGTTTTATTGGGATTGTATTCATAGGACTCCTTGATAGCGTTCATCATCCTCTTTGAATTGATCCGCCAGAGTTTCAGGGAGTGATCCATGCCACAAGACATGATTTTCTCACCAAGGAGGTCATAATCCTAGGCACACACATTGTAGTAGCTTATGTTTGTGTCAACAGTAAAATGAAATCAGTACAGTAGCTGCAAAGATAACTTTAACTCCACTTCCACAAGGTGCTGCCAAAATGGAAGGATCCAAATATTACCAATTAAAAAACTACTGGGCAACTTTTCTGCCTTTATCTCCTTAGCAGATTCTTCTGTGAGAGTGGGAACAGCAAAGAGGTCTAACAAAGAGAAAGCAATGTCATATTTACCTTTAGCAAAACTGCGGATGAAAGACGCATGGTAACTGCACAACAAAAGTCTCATTTGAAAGCACTAAGTTAATTCAATTACATTATTAAGCATATATCCTTGGCATATGTTTTGTAGAACATATCTTGCTTCCATATTCCAGTCCAACAAGCAACTGTGAACGTGTCTGGTAAAGAAGATCGTAAGAAGAAGGGAAGCATGAGCAGGGAAGACACCGTTCTACAACTAATTAAGGATCTTTCACTTACTGCACTTAAAACTTCATCTCTGTGTCCTTCAACTCCTCCAAATATTGCAACCAAAGTGTCCGTCTGAATATTCCATAATCTCAGTGCATGATCTGGTCAAAAACAGAGGTTAGGCTGTGTCAGCCGTGCATCTCACAATGTTAGCAGCCATCTAGAAGAAGTGCACATTCTGATTAACAAGAACCACTGGTTCTCAACTCTGGGTCCTGACATGTTGTTGGCCTGCAGCTCCCAGAAATCCCATCCAGCACCACTAGTGGTGAAGACTTCTGGGAGTTTTAGTCCAAGAACGCCTGGGGACCAAAGGTTGGGAACCACTGAAGTAGACAGTTCAACCGCAAACGTACATAAACTATATGGGAGATAGCAACAATATTTAGAAATTTCAATGACAGTGAGCTACTAGCTTCGTATTAACAAAAACCTGGTCAAGGTTTTCTTTCTCAGTTCTGTACATCATCTTGAAATATATCAATTATCTAGGAAGTAAAGTTTGTTTGATTCTTAAGTAGAGTCATGCTAGCCAACTGCTACTAAGAGAGAAATTGGCCTATATGATACTTTGCACAACTACACAGGCAACACATACAGGTTTCTGATCTCAAGATCAAGAATTGCAATTCAAAAATATATGAAGGTTACACTTTGCCCATCTGTGCTGAGGTTCCAAGACTGAAAGCGCCTAAAGTTCATGAACTTTCTTCCAGCAGCACTGCAAAGGGACAGGAAGTATTTAAACCAACCAGTTTCTCACAACATCCAAACTGAAAACTCTAGTTGGTTTAAATGAGGCAACCTAGTGCCCTGTAGACATTTTCTGCCCTAATGTAATCCAGAGTGTGAAAATCTTTTATTAACTCCTCGTTTCTTGACATAAGGCATGATCAGAAACATTCTGTCTTGTTTCGATGAACTATAATTTAATTACAGTTTGTGCTTACTGGACCCAATAACAAACCACACTTAATTTAAAAATGGAAGTGGAAAGGTTAATTTGGTGGAAAATGGAATCATCAGAATTACAGGTGGATATTGAAAAACACCTATTTGGTATGATCAAGAAATATAAAATAAGCAAAATTAATAACCTGTTTTTAAAAATTATGTTAAACATCTGGTACAAGTATAGAAAGAATTTATGTCCATTTAACTCTCCATTAGGATTAATAATTGAAATAGAGAATTTTCCTGCCAATATGAAAGTTTATGCAAAACTATTTAAAGAAAAAAGTGATTAGATCAAAAGACTGGTTGTATAAAATGAGATCCAAAGATCAAATGAAACAAATCCTTCAAAATAAAAATATATCACGGTTGAATTATATGCAGTTAGAAAGATGGACTAATGAATGGGTAAAGAAGCATAATAAAGGTAGAGAATATACAAAGTATGAACAATTTCTATTATCATATGAAGATATTCAGATGACTGATTCAGTAAAGGGTACAGTGAGTAAAATTTATAGATTCCTGCTTGATCTAGAAGAATTAGAGAGAGTTCCGGAGAAGAGGAAAATAAAGGAAGAAGAAGAATAAAAATAGAGGAAGAAGAGGGTTACTGCAAGAGGTCCCGACTAGGGTGGTGGAGAACACAGTCGATTTGTATTTTGGTTTATGTATTCTATGTTTATGTTGTAGTTTAAGAAAAAAAAATTAAAATGGAAGTGGATGCTTCCAAGTGACAGAGGACGAAACAGGAAGTTCCAAGTCTTATGTGAGCTGATCCCTGTAATGCTAAACTAGGATTCAGGATTATGCCCAAACAGAGCCAGAGAGTGGTTGAAGAAGAGAAGATCATACAAGATTAGGGAAAAGGATGCAAGCAAATACTATTACAGTACATGAATTGAAAATGGTTTCTATGGAAACATATTGGGTAGTGATACACTGTCTACCCATCATCTATGTGAGGTTTATTGTGCTTTGTTTTTCCACCTTTCCTTTTTACTCTTAACAGAAGCATTCCCGAGCATTTGAAAAGTGGCCATTCTCATACCTTTGCTTACAGACAAGAGAAGATTAGGATCCCGAGGGTGAAACTTCAGTTCATTGATTGCATTCCCGTGGCCCACGTAGTGCTGCAACAGAATTTAGACCTCTGATTATTCCCTCCACACTATCCTTTCATGTTTGACATTGGGGGAAAAAATCAGACAAACATTTTTGCACACAGTATTTACACTTTGCTTCAACTCACCTTTATGCACTGCATGGTAATTGGATTAATTATCCTAATAATGCCTCTAGATCCAGCCACAGCCAAAAGGGGATGGCTCGTGTTGCTGTCATAGGTCCAGGCGCAAGTATAGAAGTTTTCATCTGCCTGAAGTGTGCCACTAAGGACTGGACATACTGTATGGTTGCCCACTGCCCATCAAATATTTAAATAAAACTTAATGTATTACTTTGGAAAATCCATTGGTAGTTGATCAAAACAATGTGTAATTTAGAACAATGTTACTTACAGGGAAACCATAGTTTTCTCTTTTAAAGTATTATCATGAGCCACAAAAACAAAAAAGGATGATGATGATGAAGGACTGGTAAGCCATGAAAATACTGGAGTTCAGATGCAGACTCTGTAACACCAGGGAGACCCAGACAAAGCTGGGAGACTCAAAGGCTAACTATTAGCACAGATTTTTTTTTTATGTTCCAATTACAGACACCAAGATCCCAAAAACAGGGAATTTGGCAGTAACTTTTTGTTAAGCCCACTTTCCTCGACTACAGTTTTCCCCAATATCCTCAGACATTGTGTTTATATTTCCTACTGCCAATGTGTTCACTCTCTTAGCTCTGAAGCACATCAGGGGGAGGAACTATGGCCTGAACATAGCAGCAGGACTGACAGGGAGCTCCATTGGCACACAGCTTCTTCTGCAAGTTAAAAAGTGCTAAGGCCAACTTAAAGAAACTAAGCCTAACTGAACACCTTTATCGTGTCCCACCCTGCTCTCCTTTACCACAAACTGTTACATCCTTCCTAGACAGGCTGCTTACTCGAACCCTTTAATCATTTAGGCCACTGGTTCTTAACCTTAGGTTACTCAGGAGTTTTGGACTGCAACTCCCAGAACCCTTCACCACCTGCTGTGCTGACTGGGGTTTCTGGGAGTTGCAGTTCAAAAGAATCTGAGTAACAAAGGTTAAGAACCACTGATTTAGGCCACCATTTTCTGCACATTTTCCAGGTCAACAATATCGTTTCTCAACTGCACTGAACAAAACTGTACACAATATTCCAAATGTGGGTACACTACCGATTTATATAGTATGATACTGGTGTTTTTATTTTTGATTTCTAATTATGGCCTTCGTAGAGCAGTGACACCTATGTTGACATTTTCATCTATGACAGCAGTCGTAGAAATATGATCAAGGATACATCGGCATCTACGTAGGACTGCAATAACCGTATTTCTCCTTGGGAATGGCATTCATAAAGCGTAACCTGGAGGTAGACAAGGCACAAGAGATTAATGTTCCTAATAGCCATGACCAGACTCTTCCACCTAGTATATTAAAATCAATCTCTACTGCCCAAGTTAACTTTCTCTTCTCCAGAGGGACTATGGGTGGGAGAGGATAAAAATGGAGCTAATTATGTACATCCATAGTATATTATCAGAACATTAATTTGTTTAAATTATGTTGCCCATTCATCTTGCATTATTACACTACGTGGCTGTTGACAGAGTTGAGATGCCTAGAGTACAACTGGGGAAATATGTGAACCATTAGAAGTTATGAGACTTCAATCCCCAATACCCTCGGCCAACAGTGAGGGATATTCAGATTTGTAGTTCATCAACATCTGGAAAGCCACAGATTCTCCACTGCTGCCATAGGAGGCATCAGCAGTAGGCTTTGGATCAGTGGGTCTCAGCCTTGGTTCTTAGACTGCAACTCCCAGAAGTCTTTCCCATTGGCTGTGCTGGCTGGTGTTTCTATGAGTAGCAGTCCAAGAACACTTGGGTTCATCAAGACTAAGAAACATTGGTTTAGATCTTTATAGTTCCCTAGCTTTATTTACTGCAAGCATGGAGTCTAAATCACATACCAAGATCCAGGTCTATAGAGCCTGTGTCCTAAGTACACTCCTGCACTGCACTGAGTCCTGGACCCTTTGTACACGGCAGGAGAGGAAGCTGAACATGCTCCATATGTGTTGCCTCTGACAGATCTCTGGTATCACCTGACAGGACAAGGTTCCAAACAGAGTAGTCCTGGAGTTTTTAGCATGTATACGTTACTGAAACAGCGACGTCTACGTTGGCTCGAGCATGTCGTGAGAATGGCTGACGGTCGGATTCCAAAAGATCTCCTATATGGAGAACTAGAGCAGGGAAAGCACCCCAGAGGGAGACCACAGCTGTGAGAAAAGGACATCTGCAAGCGGGATCTGTAGGCCTTAGGAACGGACCTCAACAGATGGGAAACCCTAACATCTGAGCGTTAAGCCTTGAGGCAGGCGGGGCATTACAGCCTCTCCCAATTTGAAGAGATCCTTGTCCAGCAGGCCGAGGCAAAGAGGCAGTCACGAAACCAGCAAAACCAGCTGGACAGGAGAGAGACTGTATTTGTTTTAAGTGTGGAAGGGATTGGTACTCTCTAATTGGCCTTCTCAGCCACACTAGATGCTGTTCCAAGACCTCTATTCAGAGCACGTTACCATAATCTCTCCAGACTGAAGTATTCCCACCTGGAGTCTAAAGACAGGACATGGGCATTTTTGCTAACATGTAGTTTAAACAGCTTCAAAATGTCCTTTTTGAGCTGTTTAAATAAGCTTTCCGCTGAGTCACTGTCTTCAGTTAGAATTTTCACCTACAGAAAACAGCATGTCCCGCTGACCACATCATTATAATAATGTGCCATCAAGTCAATTCTAACTCATGATGACTCCTTTCAGGGTCTTCTAGGCGAAGAATTAGTTTACCATTTCCTCCTTCTGGGAGCTGTGCAGCTTGCCCAAGGCCACACAGGCTGGCTCTTTCTGGAAAGCCCACTGGGGTACTGAATTCCCAACCCCTGGCTCTACAAGCCAGAAACCTAACTCAGTTCACATAAACATGTATAATTACTATGATAAACAGTCACTAAGTTTGTACTACATTATAAATTGCAAGATCCAGCTTTTGTGATCAAAAGCACTGCCCAGCTTTATGGCAGGGTAGGAGTAATAAAATACTTCTGTGGGTTTAAGCTTTGAGACTCAAAAGACGTTGCTCAACTCCTACTCCAGAATCCCAGACCATTAGCATGCTGGCTAGGGCTTCTGGAAAATAAAGTCAAACACCATCTGGTGACCCAAACTTGGGCATTATAAAGCAAATAAAGAAGGAACCACAGGAAACACTGTTTTGTACACGCTACTCACTCTGTTGCTGCCAACAGTGGCAAATACCAAGGGGTCGCCTTCCTTGCTGTGCCAGTTAAACTGGACCCCAAACAGCGGCTGACCATGATCTTCCTGAAAAGGAAAAAAGCAAAACGGAGGTAAATTCAAACGACGACATTTGTGCAGTCTTTTTGCAAGAACATAAATGCATATAGTTATAGCATTCCATGAGTATTCTTTTTTTCAGGGTACAACTGCATTGCGGAAAACATGGGATGCTTCTGAAAATGTGACCCCTTCTTCCCTTTGTCACAAATTGCAACAGTGACATGTTGCAGTCTCATCACACGGAACAATGTCCAAACTCCACTCGGAAACAGCCAATGATTCAGTGCAATGGATGTGCTAACACACAACATGATTCCACAGGTTTTTGGCATCATTCACAGGAAAGGGTTCCACACTATACGGCTTGCGTGCATTAGCAAAACATTAAATGCATCCCTTTCCTTGCATGTGAAAAAGTAAAAACACATAATATTGTCTGGGGGAAATTACTACCATTACCTTCCCATCTAAACAAATTCCACCTAGACAAATTAGCTGCTAGAACTGGGAGTTCATAAGCTATTTGTGAAAGCCACACTTGCCAAGATCACACAACTGAAAGGGTCTCAAGTGTAATGCAATGCAGTGCAAGATAATCAGTATGACTCGAGTGACTATAGTATAAAACTGGTGATATCTAATTCTAGTACATGCAGGATATATCAATACAGTGGTGCCTCCCACAACGGGCGCCTCATAGAGCGATGAATTCGCTCTACGAAGCCGTTTTTGCAATCGCAAATGCGATCGCAAAACGGTGCCCGTATAGGCAGGAAATCGCAGAACGAAGGTCGGTAAGCTGCTCGCTTACCGACCTTCGCTTTGTGACCCGACAATCAGCTGTTCCGCAGCTTCAAAATGGCCGCCGGAACAGCCGAAAGGGGCCGGGGCGCAGCGTTTTCGCACCCTTGGTAAGCAAGGGGAGCGCGCAAAAATGCTGCGGAAGCCCCGAAATGGCTGCGCGCAACCATTTTGGGGCTTCCAGCAGCGCTTTCGCACGCTCCCCTTGCTTACCAAGGGTGCGAAAACGCTGCGCCCCGGCCCCTTTCGGCGGCCATTTTGGACCCGCCGGAGAGCTGATGGCAGCCATTTTGGCGCCCTCGTTGTGCAAGGGGAGGGCGCGAAAATAGCCGCCGGCCCCTGGGAAACATCGCACAACAGTGAGTATTCTATGGCATTGGAACGCATTAAACGCTGTTTAATGCGTTCCAATGCCTTTTTGTGTTCCGTAGTGCGATGTTTCACACAGGGAAGGTTAATCCGGAACGGATTAACCTCGCTGTGCGGGGCACCACTGTACGTTCCCTTACTCACTCCCCCACAATGAGAAGCATTATATTGACTTTAATATAGTAGTCATTTAAAAAAAAGAAACTATTCCTGTTTGTTGCCTCATACAGGTGGGATGTGATCAAGTTGCCAACATAGTCAATAGTTTGGCATTTTCTGAGAAAAACAAAGTAGGAAAAGAGTACATAGATTTACAGGGGACTGTCTTCTCTCTCCATCCATTTCCTGTGACAGGTACATGGACGATGGCTTTGTGGAAGAGCAGACGTTTTGACAGCCAGCATAAGGTAGTTTTTGGAGAGTTGATCTAGGACTCAAAAGACCCCAATTCAAATCCCCACTCAGCCTTGAATCTCACCAGAAGAAACGACTCTGGTTACTCTTTCAGTCTTACCTTTATCAGAATAAACTGGGGAGGAAGAGAACTTTGTGTGCCACTATGAAGGGCGGGATAAGAAATGTCACAAATAATAAATCTTGTCTATATATAAACATGCCCAGATTCCATCCCCAGCATCTTCAGATATGGCTGGCAAAAAGCTGCTGCCAGCCAGGACAGATATTATTACCTTGAGGCTGTTTACACATTTGAAGGAGTATTTGCATTTTTTCGACTTCCATTTTCCTTTTCCCCAGCTTTTCCTTCCTGGCGCGTTGGGAGTATTTGTAGGAGTGTCGGGGCGTTCAGTGTTAGTGCCACTCTCTATGCTAACAGCATCATCCTGAAAGCATAAAACAGGTTGGTTTTCAAAACAACAAGACAGATTTATTTGGGCTGCAAAGTACATCTGCTAAGATGCAGGAATGTCTCCCACCTACTCAAAAATGGTGAGAGAAACTTGTTCAGATACATGCCATCTAAGAGAGTATTCAACAACCATGGTCTAGACCAGAGATCCCCAAACCCCGGTCCGTGACCCGGCAGCAGTCCGTGGCCTATCTAGGACCAGGCTGGGGACACCGATCTACTACAGTGAGTTCTTGCTTATTTCACAATACATAATACGAGCTTTTACAAGTTCACCAAGGTTATTGCTTTTCTGCCACCAAGCAACTCACATACCTGCCTTTCTGGGATTATGTACAATGATAGATGCATCCAGAATTGTGTTTTTAGTATACTGTATCATATTATCAAAGAAATATCAAAGTGCTGTACTGGGCAACACTATGGGACCAGATGCCCACCCTACCATTTATGCTGCAATGGCAATCCTTTCTCTGTCCACCTTTTGACTGCAAAGAAAATGGCTACACTAGAAGTCTGAGAAAGGAGGGTTGGTGGGGGGGGGATAGTAAATTCTAGGAAAAATGGAAGATAGTGGGAAAGCAAGATGACCAAACGTGAGATTCAATGAGGGAAACCATAGCTTTTAGGCTACAAGACCTTGAGTAGGACTGGTAAGAACAGGATCTTTCACGAGTCATTAATTCATAGGGTTGTCATAAAAAGAAAAATCATCAGTGTCATCACCTTGACACATAAGCCTAAATTTGACACACAAGGATTCTTGGCCAGCCTTTTCTCCATGTACCCCCTTTCCGGATGCAGAGGGAGGCCTGTGCCTGTGCATATAAGCCTTAGGGTTCTCATCCAAAAGATATAAAAGGTGATGGGTTAACTTAGGAGGAGGAAAAAAGACAACCGTTCTTAAAATTATAAATGCATGCAAAATGCCTGCAAGGAAGTCTGCTCCTGCAGGGAAGCCTGGATGCCAGCTTGGGGGGTCCCCTTCCCCTTCTTCTTCTTCCTCTTCTCCCCTCCACCTCCACCTCCACCTTCTTCTTATTGACATGTGTCTCTTGGAACAGTTTAAAACTGCCAAATTAAAAAAAAGTGCCTTTCAGTGTGAGGCTTATGAAATAGTGCCAAATTGTTTGTAAGCTTCTGAAATATTTGCTGCAATTCTCTTCAAATGTCTTAAAAGATGGCTGTAGCAGTTATGATTTTGTATCACTTTGCCTATCCTATGCAGCTTCTATTACATTTATTAGAATATATTTGATATTTCTTCTTTCCCTTATATCCCTTTAGGTTTTGCTGGTTTATGGATTAGCATTTATGGTTATTCTTCCAGTGGTTGTAGTAAGTATTGCTTTAAATATAAGGGACAAGGTGCATTGTGGTAAAAAGTGAAACAGTGTAAACCTTTGGCTCACAACCATTCCCTCTTCCTTCCTAATATCATGGAAACCTACTTTTATGAATAAATGACTGCTGTATGAAATGAACAGTTTGTTCCTGTTTACTGGACATTATAGAATAACATTTGCCTTCGCTCGCCCGGGGCGAACGCGGAGGCGTAAAGCGCAGCCGGCCATTCGGCCCTTCCTCCTAACGTCGTAAAAGCAACCCAGCAAGCCACACTGCTGCAAAAAAAGAAGACCTGGCCTCTTAAAGAGGCAATGGCGGTTGTGGGCGGGGCCGATTAGAAGGGCGCCGTGAGAGGGCGCGCGCGACTGGGGAATTTCTCTCTGAGAAAAACCCGGTCCTTCTTGACTCGCGAGGTGGCCGAATAAAATGACAAATTAAGAAAATACAATGTTTTATTGAAGAACACAGCCAAACAGCCCGGAAAACCCACAACAACCAAAAAAAACAAATGTTCTCCTTCAGGGTGAGCCTGAAGAAACGGATGACTTCATTGAAATCCCGTCAGACTCAATGCGTGGGATTTGGCTCGAAGGCAGAAATTGTTATAACGGCTTTTCCTTGGCATGAAAATGTAGGAACAATCAAACAGCTACCAAAGATTCCCAAATCTCTTTTTTTAAAAAAATTGGAAATACGTACACAGTTTCTGACAATGAAATATAGAGTCGTGAAACGTGTGCCTAAGTGTTTGTCATGTAATCCCACTCTTATATCTGAGGAAGTGGGCTTCTCTACCAAAGCAAGTCATTCATATTAAAATATAGCAGTTAGTCTTTCCAGTGCTACAACATTTTTGTTTTTCTATGTATTTATTTATTGCCTGATATGCTAGCGCAAATTAACCCCGCTAATTTTTCTAAAGCTATCAAGATCTAATGGGCAGGAACTGAATTGTCACAGACTACTTTTCCTGCCTGACAAAATGGACTTCTCCACAAAAGCTCCCGTTAATATACAGTACAGAAGTTAGTCTTTAAGGTGCAACAGCATCTTTATTTTTTATTTTGTTTTTGCCTGATGCACTTTTCTGATTTCTTTGCTATTTGATTCCATGCTTTTTTTTCACTTTTGGTCCCTCTCCCTGCAAATCCCTCCTTTTGTGAACTATTTCATCAAGCTATTGATTGGCTCTCCCCAGCTGGCACTTACCCTGTACCCATACCACCAAGATGCCTGAATATGCTTCCGTCCTAGCTGGTAATAGAAGAGGAATTATAAATTTAAGAACTGTTAAGACTCCATTTTTCCTCCTCCTAACCCATCCCCTTTTCCTTCTGTGTTACGTATTTCAGATGAGAAGCTTAAGGCTTATCCCCTTGTAATGCAACCAATATTTGTAGGCTACCCTAAAACCCTTTGTCACCAAGGAACAGGTGAAAAAATTTAGATTAGGCGTCCTTCAGTTTCGAGAGACGATGGTAACGTGCTCTGTATGGAGGACTTGGAACAGTGTCTAACATGGCTGAGAAGGCCAATTCGAGAGTGACCATCCCTTCCACACTGAAGACAAACACCATCTGTCCCCTGTCCAGCTCCCTGATTTTGCTGTTTTCGGGACTGCCTCTTGACCTCAGCCTGCTGGACAAGGGTCTCCTCAAACCATGAAGGGGCACCTCCTCAGCCACACAGTCTGGTCAAGCTCAGCCAAGCAGGTGCCTTTTTTTTTGTTTTGTTTTGTTTTTGCAAGCCCAGCAACTCCTCTGAGAGGGTGTCCAGATGAAGTCATCAAACAAGGCTGGTATGTGGGGTGGCAGAGCGGAAGGGGACCCAGGGATCCCTCCATCTCTCAGGAGAAAGGCGTCAGGGGAGCTGCCTCTCTGCTTGGCCTCTTCTCTCCCTGGCAGCTTTGACGTGGCTTGTTATGAGCAATTTGGCTCATAACTAGCAATGTTCTGAATAATGAGCAATATAACAAGTCGTTACAAAGCCGTGGTAAACTAAAGTAAGAAGCATTTACAAAGTTATTTTTGGCATAAACGGTTCCTTTTAAAAGGCATCTTGACAGGGGGTTTCCGGGTATATGCCGTTCTTCTAAACCTGATTACCAATTGTTCACTTTGTCTTTATGCAAATATTTGTAAAATACAATATCAGACTTGGAGAGACTATAGATCTGGTTTATTAGATGCTATTAACAATATTTCAACATATTAACAGAATGTAACATATTAGCTCCACTATCAACAACAATAAGTAAAAACTAAAGGTATATGCTTGTATATAAATGTATGGCAAATATTGCGTACAAAATGTCTGAGTAGGTGGGTTGTAATCACAAAAGTCGACAATGCAAAGAAACCCATTCGTCTTTCAGGTGTTAGAATACTTCTCATCTCCTTGACTGTAATTTATTTCTCTCCCCGCAACGAAATGTCTAAACTATTAATCCAGGGCTGGGAATTGGTTGAGCTACAGATGTTCTCAGACTGCAAGATCCATTGGGATCAGTCATCATTGCCAATTGTGAGAGATTCAGTTGAAATTTCCAGCCATCGTAGAGAGCCACAGTTGTTACGCTTCCATGCACTTACACCCACAAGCACAAAGTCTGATAACTTGCTTTTTGTAAGGAGCCAGTTAAAAAGTGGGCGGTGGGTCCAAACGAGTGAGGCTTACAAACACCGACATAAACAAATCTTGATAAGATGCAACTTGCACAGGTCTGATCATGCATGGTGACTTAAACTTTTGAATGTTTCTGAGGAATAAACTGTTGGGTTGGGAATAAAAATATGTAATGCCGCTGGAACAAGTAAGAGAATCAGAACAGGAATGTGGCTTGAAGATTATTTCAAATTTAGGAAAGCTGGTCATCTGTCAGGTGTTGCCATCATTGGAGGAATAGAAGCAGAGGCTAGGCATCCGTTGAGCAGAGACGCCCGGCATTGCAGAGCGCATAGTGTGCAGGGGGTTGCACTCCCTGGGGGGGGAGGACAGTGGCAGGGAAACTGGAAGGAAGGAGAAGCAGATAATGCTTTTCCCTTTCAGACAGAGTGGTGGGGCGGGGGGGGGAACTGTGATGAGAGATCACAGGAAGCAAAGGAAAAAAAGAAGAAAAGAGGTAGAAAGGAAAGAGGAAAACTCTACAATGATGCCTCAACTTATGCAAAACCGACCCAGAACAGTTTTTAAAAACCGGCACCTGACCTTACCAGATGGTCCCAAGCCGATGCCTCCAAGGCTGATAGTGCCCCCCCAATGGCGCTTCCAGCTCTGGAACCAGCCCCTCCCAGAGGAGCGCTGGGAGTCTGAGCGCCAGGAGGCTGAGCCCGGCAGCTGCGCTCCATCCGGCTGGTCACTGGGGTACTTCCTCCAGCCAGACTCAGCCTACTGGTGCTGGGCCACCCCCACCACTGCCATGAGGCCAGCGGCCAGAGGGAGCACCCCAGCCAGAGTCAGCCTCCTGGCGCTGGGCCACCGCTACTTACAACCATTTCGAGTTACGACCAGCTCCGGTCGCAAAACTTTGCTGCGACGTGTGGCCGGAGCTTCGACTTCCGAAAAGAAAGAGGCAGGGGAAAAGGGCCACACGTTGGTGGTGAAGAGGCTTATTCTTTGTAGCTCTTTCACCCCAACGGTTAGGGAAAGGGTTGCGCCTCCTGCCAGTGGCCATGGCCCAACTCTGGGAGGCTGAGCCTGGCCGGAGGGGGCTCCTTCTGGCCGCTCGGCTCATGGCGTCAGCACCAGCAGCGATGGCCCAGTGCCAGGAGGCTGACCCTGGCTGGGGTGCTCCAGCCGCTTGCCTCCCGACAGGCTCCAACGACGCAGGGGTCGCCTCTGGGCCGATCCCGCTGCTCCAACGAGTGCCGACCTCTGCATCGTTGGAGCCCATCGGGAGGCAAGCGGCCAGAGGGAACACCCAAGCCAGGCTCAGCGTCCTGGCACTGGACCACCGTTGTCACCCTGGGGGTGCGAGAGGCTGGAGGGAGCACCCCGATCAGGCTAGGCCTCCTGGTGCTCAGCCTTCTAGCTGGGATGTCTCCCTCCAGCCGCTTGCCTCCTGGCGGTGGTATTGGCCCATGGAGGGTGGCAGCGAGCATCATTGGAGCCCGTCGGGAGGCAAGCGGCCGGAGGGAGCACCCAAGCCAGGCTCATCCTCCCGGTCCTTGGCTGAGCCTGTCCAGGGTGCTCCCTCTGGCCGCTTGCTTCCCAACGGCTGCGGTGTCCCAGTGCTGGGAGGCGGAGCCTGGCTGGGGGGCTCCCTCTGGCTCCAACGATGCCGGGATTGGCGATCCTCATCGCCCTCTGTGGGCCAGTGCCGCTGCTGCTGCCCAAGGCGGTGGCGGGCACGAGCGGTGGCGTCGGCCTGGAGAGGGCGCCGAGGAGCGTGGAGCCCAGCCTCATTAGAGGCCATTGGTAGGCGAACGGCCGGAGCACCCCGGCTAGGCTTAGCCTCCCTGTGCTTGGCAACCGCTGCCTCCGGGAGGAGACGGGCCAAAGGGAACACCCCGGTGAGGAGGCTGAGTGCCAGGAAGCCAAGCCTGGCCGGGGTGCTCTCTCCATCCAGTCACCTTCCGGCAGCGGCAGCGGTGGCCCAGTGCCGGGAGGCTGAGCCTGGCCGGGGTGCTCCCTCCAGCTGCTCACCTCCCAACGGGAGCATGATGAACGATTTAAAGATGTCTGAAATATTATTAATGATAAATTTACATGTAAAATGAATGGGAAAAATGATTTGATAATTAAGAATATGTTTATAGGTATTTGGGGGCAATTTATTTATTTGGTATTCAAAAAGGGGAAAGGTTGTGGATCTTCTTTTTTAAATTTTTTATACTTTATTAAACCAGCATCCAAACTAAACAACATAAAGCTAACACCCAATAAAATAGAATTACATTTTAATACACCTGTACCACCTTCACCCTCAGGCCTATCATTAATAATATTTTACAATTTTGAAATAAAGGAGTCACCCAGCTGTGCAAACACTTTGCTTAAAACCACAGCCTGGGCATACAATAACGTTGCTGTAGTTATTTAGGATGACAAGGAGTTAAATAAAAGAAGATCACCTGCAATATCTTCGAGGTCCATCCCGCTTTTGTCGACCTGCGGCCACATTGGAAAACGGAAACTGCCAGAGGAGAAACAAGGGGGGGGGAATGAACCATGATCAAGATCTCAAATTGAGCCCAGTTCTTCCCAGTTCCCACAGCTATAAACACTGAATTATCCAACAATCAGCAACAGAGCATGGACAGAGTTCCTACTCCAATCCTTTGAAGATGCCAGCCACAGAGGCTGGCGAAACATCAGGAAGAACATCCTTCAGAACATTGCCAAAGAACCCGAAAAACCCATGTGACATAGCAGGCCACTCTGATGTCACCCCCAACTCAGGCCTCTCAGAATGCCCACCACACCACATCACCCTCGCTGCCACCAATTGTACTGTCTATTTAAGAAGGATCAAGGTTTCCTTCAAAACAAAACAGGTTTATTGAAATAACAAAATAAAAGATGTAAATCACAAGTAGCTAATCAAGATGTCAATCACTGTATCTTATTTATTCAATCACAGACTTCCCTCATTGACTACTTAGGCACGCAGGCCTCTAAACAAACTCTTTCTCTCTCACACACTCCTGATCTGATTTTTCACACCCTCTTCACCCCCTTTTTCTTCCAGCTCCTCCCTCTTCAGCCCCACCCTCCGTCACCCCATTGGCTGATGATTCACTGCCCAATTGTGATGGACAGGTAAGGTCAGGGCTGCCTGTTACAACCCACAACAACCATCAGTATTCAAACCCACCATAAAATACAACAAATGTTACGGTCAGCAAAGGACAAAAGGGACCCCCTCAGCACTGCAGGAATATACCGGATACCTTGCAGTTGTGGACGAGTATATATTGGAACCACAAAACGAAGCATCCACACCAGAAACAAAGAACACGAGAGACACTGCAGACTAAAACAACCAGAAAATGCTGCAGTAATTGAACATGCCCTAAAATAAGAAATTCTATTGCAAAATACTGAAGTACTAGACAACACCAGCAACCACTATGTTAAGACTGTAGAGGGAAGCCATTGAAATCCACAAACATCAACAAAAAAGAAGAAGGCCTAAAACTAAACACGGCCTGGCTCCCAATATTGAAAAATTCAGCCTGGACTGCCAGAAAGATGAACAAGTGGGTTCTAGGTCAAATCAAGCCTGAATTATCTCGAAGTAAAAATGTTGAAACTGAGATTATCAGTCTCACGTAATAAGAAGGCAGGATTATCTGGAAAAGACAATAATGCTGGGAAAAGCTGGATGCATCAGGAAAACAAGAAGACCCAGTCCTAAAGGAAACCACAGAATGAGTTACAAGAGCTGAGCAGGGCACCTGAAAACAGGAAGGTACTTATTTAACAATTGGTTGCCTATAATCTAAAATCTGTTGCCTGAAGCAGTGGCCTAACTCTGGCCAGTGACAGGGTCAGAGCTGGCTGCAGCCTCACTTCTCTGGGAAAAGAAAAACATTGTAGCAGCATATAAGGAGGGCAGCTTCTGTTTTCAGTCTGGAAACCTTTGTATTTATTTATTTATTTATTTTAACAATATTTTCTAGTATCCCCCCAGTAAGCAAGCCAGTGTTTGCTGCTTAGAATTGAACCGTTGTTACCTGCCTGCCCTACTACTTCCCTGCTTTTAAAATATATACACACGTGGAGTGTTTTTAAACTCTTCTATAGGAATCGTTCCGTTCCTATTTCTGAAATTCTTGTTTAAGATTCAAGAAGTGAAGTTCCCACTTTTATTAGAGTCTGCCTATGTTTTGCAGGAAGGAAGCCCTTGGGCTAAAAAGGAAGGGCAGAAATATATGTCTTAAACAGGAATCATTATATTTTTTTTCTCTCATCTTCCATGACTAATCTTGGAAACATCTGGGGATGCTTTTTTATTTAAATCCAAAATCATGCATTATGTTTCCTTTTTTAACACCCTGACGGCATGCTGTAACACCTACGGACTGTCATAATAGATATAAGTGCTACTGGGAGAAGCTGGTGATTGTAGCCACAGAATTTTTATTGTTTCTTTTGCAACAAAATTAAACAGAAGCAGGATAAAACGAGTTACCACTCTGTTTGGAAGGATATGACACACTGCCTCATGGCAAGAGCCAGACTTACACAGCAGTTGTCCTGCTGGTCAGCTTCTCGAAGTTGTTGAAGTCTGGAGGAATGCAATAGCCTTTCCAAATTCAAATTGTTAACATCAGAAGCCCCCGTCTACTATAACTTCTGCAGGCAGTGGTGGGTGAAACTTCACTAGATCACTGAAAGATCTCAGACATAAGCCAGTTTTCAACCCCGTTTGGGTCTTCATAAGGCAGAAAATGTTGGAGCTATTTCAACCTTGCATGCTGCCTTTATCTGCCGACAGTTTACAGTTAATGCATCTATTGTATATCTATATATTTATTACATGTAAAAACAAAATTAAAAAGAAACAAAAGAACAAATTTAAAAAGGTAAAAACTTGGTGGCAACTTAAAGACTAACTTATATTTTAATGTGAGCTTTCCTGGACAAATCCAATTCCTCAGACATAAGAAGAGAGAGGTACAATATGTCATGGCAAATATTTGAACAAGGCATCAAAATACCAACCAACTATGATCTCTATATTGTGTTATATCTCTCTCTTATAATGTCTTAGGAAGTGGATTTGTCCATAGAAGCTCACATTGACAGTTAATCTTTAAGGTGTCACCATGTTTTTGTCTTTTTTTATTTGTTCTTTTATTTTTTTATTTTTTTATGTATTTTGTTTTTACCTACAATGTTTGCACAGACTAAAATGGCTACCTCTTCTAATCAATCAATCAATCAATCAATCAATCAATCAATCAATCAATCAATCAATCAATCAATCAATCAATCTATCTATCTATCTATCTATCTATCTATCTATCTATCTATCTATCTATCTATCTATCTATCTATCTATAGGTTTTTGAAGCATTCATATTGCCTTTTTTGTTAGTCCCATGCAAACCCATTAAATAACAACATTGATTAGATCAGAGAGCAAGTAGCCTCTGGTCTAGCTAGTTTAATTTCTAAAACTCCAAACAGAGGCACAGAAAGAAAGACAAGACAAAAGTGAGAGGCAGAGCTAGAAGAAAGAAAGAAAGAAAGAAAGAAAGAAAGAAAGAAAGAAAGAAAGAAAAAGAGGAAGGAAGGAAGGAAGGCAGGAAAGGAGGGAGGGAGGGAGGGAGGGAGGAAGGAGCTGTTGAGAAGGAAGGAAGGAAGAGGAAGGAAGAAAAGAAAGAAAGAAAGAAAGAAAGAAAGAAAGAAAGAAAGAAAGAAAGAAAAACCTGCAATTTTAGGATCTATACACAAACTAAAGAATGTGTGCAGAAGAATTGGGAATATATATTGAAGTGAATGAGAAAGAAGAGGGCCAAAGCCTTCATTATCTGAGAAAATTTTTGCAGAGAAATAAGAACAAAGTAGCATCCTTATGTAATGTTTTGCCTCTGCACATAGAAACGTATAATTCATTGTGGCAGGAATCTAATAGGAGTCTGAGCTCCACCAATTCCTGTGGTTCTAAAGAATTTGGATAATGCTGGAACATGGCTGTTGTTAATAAAAGAAATGGCTGAGCGAGAACAAAAGTCATTGATTTCAGAGTATTCTCCCAGTGAGGGTGTTTCCTAAGCACAACCTAGCCAGATGCAGTATGGAAAAACACATGTAGGCCATATGGAGATGGCAACCATCCTAGAACTAATTATGGACACTTCTAGTCTAGATAACTAGCATTCAAGGAGTGGAGGGGTAGATTGATTAGTGTTCTCTCTCTCTCTGCGTATCTGAGCAGCTAATTGCTTCCTTACTTAGCTGGGATGGCTGGTGGCTATTAACTACCGGAAGAACCCTACTGTTCACATAAGAACCGTATAAATGTACACAAGAAGAAACTCCCATATCCCTGATGCTGTATGGCCAACCGAAATTACGTCAACTTATCTGTTTGCCATATGTGTATATATGTGGTGTGTGTGTGTGTGTGTGTGTGTGTGTGTGTTTTGAAAGGCATGGAAGCTTCCATGTGCTTTCAAACAACCCTCCTGTGCTTTCAAACAACCCTCCTGTTGTTCTAAAGAAGATTGTGCCTTTGAATTTTGTGCAGAGTACAAAACTGCCAGATTTCTCTCTGTGTGTGTGCTCATTCCATTTTCATTTAATTCAAGTCTCATTCAGTTAGACTTCTAAGAATGTATATTTAGGATTCTGGGCTTGGCTTCTTTTTGCAGTTCTCTTTCAGGAAGAAGGAATTGCTAATATGGTTCTGTGGCCAGAATGAGGACAGGCAAAGTTGGCTCAAGGTGGGTGGAAAAATTAATCTGAGTGGTAGAACTGGCATGTATTCTACTGTTAGTGTTGGAGGAAGCCACTAAGCTAGGAAGGACAACCTTCACTTTGCTCATATTTTAGTATTATTCAGCTGCCACCAGAAGATTAGGCAGCTTAAATATCCCAAAGCAGAGAGGCATTAGCTTTGCAAAAGACCTATTTCTGGTGTAGATGAAAATGACTAGAACTAGTCTGTTACGTCAACGTTGCTGTCTACATTTGGACTCAATCCTAAGGCAATGAAAGGCTTTAATTTTTGCATATGACAAGCTGTATGGCCAACCAAAATTACGTCAACTTATCTGGAAAAATTAATCTGAGTGGTAGAACTGGCATGTATTCTACTGTTAGTGTTGGAGGAAGCCACTAAGCTAGGAAGGACAACCTTCACTTTGCTCATATTTTAGTATTATTCAGCTGCCACCAGAAGATTAGGCAGCTTAAATATCCCAAAGCAGAGAGGCATCGGCTTTGCAAAAGACCTATTCCTGGTGGAGATGAAAACGACTAGAACTAGTCTGTTGCGTCAACGTTGCTGTCTACATTTGGACTCTATCCTAAGGCACTGAAAGGTTTTAATTTTTGCATATGACAAGCTGTATGGCCAACCAAAATTACATCAACTTATCTGTTTGCCATATCTACACATATATTATGGTCTACAGCTAACTGCATTTAGTAAAATGTCCTAGAACATAGAGCAACCTGGCTTTGAAGAAACATAACTGCTTAACTGAACACCTTTTCCCTGCTTGCTTGTCCTGCCCTATAATAGTAATTGCATGCCATCAAATTGATTCTGAGTTATGGCCACTTTTTTCAGGCTTTTCCAGGTAGAGGAAACACAGAAGTGGATTACAATTCTCTTCTTCTCAGGGCATCCTGGCATTGTGCAGCTTGCCCAAGGCCACACGGGCTGGCTCTTCCCCTAAGAAGCATGGTAGGGAATCGAACTGCCAATGTCTGGCTCCACAGACAAGTATCTAAACCACTGAGCTATCCAGTGAGCTAGTCCTGCCCTAGACCCAAGATTGTCCTGGAACTGGCCTCTGAGGAGGTAATGCCACCTCAACTTTATCTAATGGTTCCTGCTCAAAATTAAGAATATTCCCTACAGAAATAATGGACATTAATGTACAAATGTCTCATTGCTTCGTTGAATATGGCTGATAATTAATGAAAGATGAAAAAGAACTAATTATTATTATAGTTACTGTGGGCTCGCTATGTGAGGCACCACTGTAATTATTATAGTTATCATGGGAAGGCTGATATTTGCAAACAATTGGAAAAATAATAACCAATTTAATATGGAAGAATGGCATGAAGACATGTGGGAAATGGCTATTAATGATAAATTAACCTTTGAAACGAAGGTTAGAAAGGGAATATTAAAATGTAATGATTTTAAGAATATATTGGTATGTGTGTTTCAGGAACACAAAGAGCATATATACAGCTGAAGAAGAATCAATGTATTTTTCGAGAGAAATAGGGTGGTAAGAAATATAAATGTTAACTAGTCCTGGGGGTGGAGAGTTGCACGGGGGTGATAATTGTGGTTTTGTTAATTTGATTTGTTAGTGTGTTTATTGCTGTTAGTGTGTTTATACTGCATTCTTGTTTATTGCTTGGAAATTTTTTAAAAATTGGTTGTCGGTTTTTCAGGCTGTTTGGCTGTGTTCTGAAGGTTTTTCTTCCTAAAGTTTCACCAACGTGTGGCTGGCATCTTCAGAGGACAGGAGTTAGAACACAACGACCATTGGATCCCAGCCGTGAAAGCCTTTGAGAATACATTAATAAAAATTGTATTAAAAACAAACAAAAATATCCCCATCAAGTAGAATATCTGCCAGAGCTGCTAGTAATGAGGTTTTCTTTGCATGCCTCTTTAAATAGGCAGTGGTTTAGTAGACCCAGGACTCTCAGGGTGAAAGCCCCAGGACTTTCTTAGCAGTAGGGATTATAGTGTCATCCTCCATCTCTTCAGACTTCCCTGTTGCCTCTGAGCTGAGCAGCCATCCTTACAGAAGCTGGAAGATAAAAGGATTTTCTGAGGAACAGTATATTCCTGACTTCTGCCTCAGCCTTTTTAAAACAGGATGGGATTTACTTTCTGGGCGAAGATGCGGCTGAACGAACTTAACCAAATGAAGAATTTAATCTGATTTTCATTTATTGTATTCGTGGGAAGAGCTGTGCTGAATAGATCCCCCCACTCCTCTTTTGTCCCATTGGTTAACTTAACAAACAGGAACCCAAGGTTATTAGTGTGTCTCTTTATGTTTAGAACATTTTGCCCAGTGCTGGAATGCAGCTGTTTTTGTGGAAGGAAGCATAGCAGACATTCCGTGTGTGCTGTATGCCAGCAGAATTACACAATAGTGCAAAGGAAGGGAACTGGAGAATAGTTTATCTGGCTGCGGAAATATTAAAGACCTCTGCTAGCTAATGATGAATGTTGCACAGTATATTTTACTGGTGACAGCCGCTGATCTGAAGCTAAATTAAGAATTGAGATAATCTCCAAGATTCTCCCCCAGGGAAATTCCAGAAAGTTTTAATGCCTCGTTTGAGGCAATTTGTGGTAGCACTTCTCTTCAGGATTACCAGGCTGTAAAACCTAGGGATCCTGTCCATTCTAATCTAAATAGTCAACAAGACTACCTATTATATTCATACTTTTTAAAAGCCTGCTTCAGCTGGCCACTTGTGTCTTGAAGGAAAAGCGGGCATACAGGGCTCTGGATCAGCTTCACATGTGAAATTGGTTGCAGAGTAAGCACACAGTTGCAACATTGGTGTGTGGGTTTAGCTATTTGAAATGCCAGGCCCGAGCACTTACACTCTTCATAAAGGAATCGTGTCCATAGTTCTTTCTAAGAAAATAGCAAGCGTTTGTTTTTATCAGAGAAATACACTTGGAATAGGAAAGGTGATGGATGACTTAATTCTAGCTAACTGAAAGTGGGAGACGTCAGGAGCTGTGACTTCCCTTTTCAACTAGGGAATGAAGGCAAAATGAGAATCTCCTTCACAGAAAGGAAAGAACTCTAAGAAAAGCCAACAAGAAGTTGAAGGAAGGTCCAAGCAGGTGAGGGACACTAGAGAAACTGAGGAGATGCTCCCTTTCTTCTCTTCTCCTTGTCCAGCATGTATCTTCTGGAGCGTAAACTGTGGATGCAACCAGAGAGCTGGAAAGGCGTGCACCAGATCACACCAGAAAGAGTCATTTTGCCATGAGTAATCTCCTTTAAAGCCACTCTTCCATCTGGTGGGGAATCGCTCCAGCCGGAGGGGCCCCAAAAATAAGAGCCCTATAGCTGGACCAAAAAGCTGCAGCTTGGGCATAGATCAGGGTTGGACGGGAGCCCCTTTCCCTTTACCTCATGCGAGCATTCCACAAGTGGTCCAAAATGCATCTTGATCCCCCTCATGTGACCACATTCTCAGTTGCACCCAGTCACTGCCAATAAAATCCCTCCTCCCGCCCTGACGTTTGTCTACATTCACATTTCAATGAAGGCAAACAGGAATAGCAGGCATTCATTGGCTAAAATATTTCTCCTCACTTCAGGCCATACAAGCACTTAACGATAGCTATCAGCCCTGTTGCCTTGGCCTGCTATTTACATTTCATAATGTGTGTGGATGTTAAACACATGCTTGGCCCGGCCTTCTTTCCTATCTTCCTTCCTTTTGTTGGAAACTTTACTGGGGGTGGTGGTGAGGTTTGGCATTTATCGTATCCTTTTGTTGGAAACTTTACTGGGGGTGGGTTTTTTTTTTGGCATTTATCGTATTTTTCCGTATATAAAACTACACTTTTTCCTAAAATAATTAGAGGAAAAATTAAGGGCCGTTTTATACACAAAAGTAAGGTGGAATCCCTGGCTTTCCCCTCCACTTTCTTGTAAAGAAAGAAATTTTGGGTTAGAAAAGTAAGGGGCATCTTATACATGGGGGGCGTTTTATACATGGAAAATATGGTATTTATTTGCTTGAATATTTTTTACCATACCTTTTTCCTGGGAAAGGGGTTCAGGGAAGCTTTTACAGATGTAATAACACATATAGTCCAAATATGTAATTTTTCCAATCACTGGCTAAACCAGACACAATTTTAGAGCCATGCTAGCTGCATCATGGAGGGCTGGGGGCTTGAGTAAGTTGCTTTCCATGGCCTTTCCTTTTTCTGACCCACCTTCGCTCAGTGTCCATGCCATCAAAAGGAATAGTGTAGGCAAATGAGGCAACAGTAGAATAAGGGTAACCATAACCATCAATTCCCCAAGTAAAGTTCGAATAATCAGCACTGTTCTCAGTCTAGGAAAAAAGCAAGTAAGCAGGGAAATGGTAGAATTTCATAAAACAAGGCATGATGTGGATAATGTATTCATTCATTTGTTTATATACAATATTTTCACCCTGCCTTTATCCTTGGAAAAGGACCCAAATAATTGACAGATAATATTTAAGAACAAAACATTGAGTGTACGAAGGTGGCGTACATCATTAAAAGGCAATATTTAAAGCTAAAAACATTTAAGTATAGAAATATTTAAAGGAAACAAATACCACTCTGAGAAATTTGAGACAAGCAATACTAAAAACACAGTCAAAGCAGTCAGTCACTGAGGAAAAGCTTGCCTGAAAAGAAAGGTCTTCATCTGCTTGGGGAAGGACAGCCAAGATGGGGCCAGCCTGGCCTCCTGTGGGAGGGAGTTCCAAAGTCTGGGAGCAGCCACAGAGAAGGTCCTGTCCTGTGTCCCCATCAGACACACCTGTGAAAATGGTGGGCCCAAGAGAAAGGCCTCCCCTGATTATCTTAATGTGGAATTTCCCCCATGAGTTGTAACTTTGAAACACAGAAGCTGAAATCCAGTAGTAAGTTGCATCTAGAATAGGCCCTTTAAAGAAATGGAACTTACAGGGATGTGGATTCACTAAATCCCATTTCATTCAGTGGGGCTCCTCTGGTTGAGGCTTAAAGTTGGGCTTTGTCCAGAGTCATCTTTAAGCAATGATGACACAGCTCATGTGATGTAATGCTTGGATGATTTGACTCAGAACTTAGAGAATCCAGGTTTCAAACCCACTGTACCTTGAAACTCACTGGGAGACCTTGGGCTACTCACTCTGCATCAGCCTGCTTTACCTGACAGGGTTGTTGTGGGTATAGAGTCACACTCTATGGCTTTTGGGCACAGATCAGTCTTGAATTTGGAAGTCACAATGGATTACTGCATAACGAAAGTACAGAGAGTTCTGTTTTTCGAAAAAAACAAAAATCTGTTCCCTTGATCCCCTGAAGCCATTATTGCTGCAGGATTTTGTCATTATTGTATGGGCTTTTCTTTAATACAGAAAGATGGAGTTACCCACCCTCTCTGTCAAATGTACCATCGGATTGCTGGGTGAAAGTTGCATAATTCTGTCCCGAATAGTTATAAGGATACACTCAGTTCCAGGTTCTTGTGGACATGGCTGATGGCTATTATTAGCTTCTTTCATATATTGCCCCAGTCTCTTTGATGTCAAACTGTGAGAAAGCAGTGACATTTTCCCTGCTCCTCCCCAGAAGCAAAAATAAAATCATGTGAACATATTTGTTATTCCCTTTGGGGGTCATTTTTCTTGTTCACTCATGAAAGCCCACATAAAGCTAGCTTGCATCTGAATTATGAATGATTGAAAAGCACTTCCTCAAAAGCTCAGCTCCAGTTGGCTTGTGAATAAAATCGTGAAGAAAAGAAAAAGTTTAAGTAAAATGACAAAAGAAAAGAGCACCAAAGAGGGAGTGATTGCTCACCGAAGGTGCCCCATCTCTCATTTTTACAGCCAATGTGTAGCACTATATCTGCACAAATTTCAACTCTGCCAGAAGAAATGCAGAAGAGAAAAATGGAATGGCTTAGTGTTAGAGTCTGGGCTTACACATAGAAGGTCCCAGGGCAAGTGGAACCAGAAAGGCTATGCAGCAGAATTACAGAGATCCACAGAGGATGATTGCTTCAAGTTCTCTGGAGTCCACCCCTTTCTCATTAACTGGCACTTATCACCTTGCCAACAAAGGTCCACATAGTCAAAGCTATGGTTTTTCCTGTAGTGATGTATGGAAGTGAGAGCTGGACCATAAAGAAGGCTGACTGCTGAAGAATTGATGCTTTTGAATTGTGGTGCTGGAGGAGACTCTTGAGAGTCCCCTGGACTGCAAAGAGAACAAACTTATCCATTCTGAAGGAAATCAACCCAGAGTGCTCACTGGAAGGACAGATCCTGAAGCTGAGGCTCCAATATTTTGGCCATCTCATGAGAAGAGAAGACTCCCTGGAAAGACCATGATGTTGGGAAAGTATGAAGGAAAGAGGAGAAGGCAACGACAAAGGACGAGATGGCTGGACAGTGTCACCAAAGCTACCAACATGAATTTGACTCAGCTCTGGAAGGCAGTGGAAGACAGGAGGGCCTGGCGTGCTCTGGTCCATGGGGTCACGAAGAGTCAGACATGACTAAACAACAACAACAAAGTCTTAATAACTCACCAAGAGACATTTGCAAGAGAAAGAATTAAAAAAAATTACTTACAGTTGCTTGAAATTACAACATTTACCGTATATGCTGCTTTCTTTCTGCGTACATACGTATCCACCAAAAACAAACAGCAACCTACCAACAGACTAAAGAGAGGGAAAGAAACACTTAGCAGAGAGGCAGGGCTCCCTTTTAAATCAAAGGTTGGAAGGAACAATTGGTTAGTGTTGGCTAGACAGACAATCATTCCCGACCAGAAAAGTCCCTCCCGGTCACACAAGTCACAGACAGCATGCGAGGTTGCAATTGAAACTCTAACAAAAGATTCCAGCCTGAACTCCAGGAGAATGGCTGCCGGGCAGTGTCAATAACACTGAACTGGATGGACCCATGAACTGATTCAGCATAAAGCAGCTTCCTACGCTTTCTGACTTTGAAGTTGGCACCCCTGACTGGGTTGCCATTTCATTACAGCAAACTTAGGGGCTCTGTCTCTAAACAAGCGTAAACCTGACAGCCAAGCCAGGGAGAGGGAAGGAAAAATATTATTGTCCAATATGAGTTGGGAGAAAAGGAACATTATTTTCCTAATTGTCCAGAATAAAAGCATGAATTAACACATGGGAATTTGCATATATATCATCTTTCAGTGGGACAAGAGACCCGAAATAAAGAGGGTGGGCTAATTTGTTCAGTCGCTTTCTTGATCTGCCGATGGGCCACCCAGAATGCCATGTGAAAAGCTCATTAGATCCTTGGACTAACAACATACCATTTTAATTATGCAAGCTGCTTTGCAGTGTTTCATTGTCTTCAGCCTGCAGAATCAACGTTTCATCCAATTTCTGTACTTCACTGAAAAATATATAAAATGGAAATTTCAGGGGAAACCTGAGGAAGTAGCCAAAATTAGCCCAGCTCTGAGATCGACAGCAAAGTTCCTGGGTAGCAGGGTTAATTTGGAGCAGTGTTTATGCATTCACAGGCTCATATGCAATAAGCGGCAGAAAAAGGAACTCAATTTTTTTTAAATATATGTTGTTACATCTATGGGAGGTGTCAGTAAACTGCAATGCTATGCATATTTATTTATTTTAACTACTACTTATTAATTCATTGTTGTTATGTGCCATTAAGTCACCTCCGACTTATGGTGACCCTATGAATGAGCTATCTCCAGGACTTTCTTTCCTCAACAGCCCTGCTCAGCTGCTGTAGACTCAAGCTTGTGGCTTCCTTTCAGGAGCCAGTCCATCTCCTATTGGGTCTTCCTCTTTTCCTGCTGCCTTCCACCTTTCCCAGCATTATTGTCTTATCCAGAGAATCCTGCATCCTCATAAGGTGTCCAAAGGAAGACGGACTCGGTTTCATCATTTTTTGCCTCTAGAGATAGTTCAGGTTTGTTTTGCTCTAGGACCCACTTGTTTATCTTTCTGGCAGTCCAGGGTATCAAGCTTTCCTCCAGCACCGCATGTCAATGAATCCAATTTTTCTTTCTTGTCCAGATTTTGCACCCACAAGTGATATAAACCATACATAACCACAACTTTTTAAATTGTATTTTAATATTATTGCATTTTTAGCTGCCTGTCTTTTAAATTCATGTTGTAACCAGCCTGGACCCTGTAAGATCTACTTGTCTTACTGTCTGTCTAAAGAGACAAATGGTGTGAATGCATAGGGAAACAGATCACATTTTGGACGGCTTGTAGAGTTATCTGGGGTGATCTGTTTCCGGGTGCTCACACAGTGTACAGGGAATGGTGTTCTAGCGCAACCCTGTTCCATGAAGCTACTGCTTTTGGAGGCTGGGCTGGAGTAATTCCCTGGCAGACAGAAAAGTCACTTTGAGGGAGCTGCTCCCATTAAAGCAGCCCTTTCTGGTGCAATTCGAGGTGCTCCCTTTTCATTGCATCCAAAGAGAAAAAGATCATACACAGCTTATTCCTGAATGGGTATGTACAGGATCAGGCTATTAAATGTCAACCATTCTATGTACTGTTAGCTAGATTTGCCCACTTCTGACTCCATCTTCTTTACCTGTTCCTTCACAGTAGAGCAAACCAGTGTTAATTAGCAGATTCTGATCTAATCTTTATGTTCTAGTCCCTTCCAGGATGGGTGCCAGCTGCACTTAAGTTCTTGAGCCACGGACCAGATTACGTCGCTATGTGTATCCCTACTTCTTAACCTCCGCCAGTTCAGAAAGGGGTTAGAAGACATTTTTGTCCTTCCACATCCAACAAGCATCTCTACCCTGCTGTCAGAGTAAAAGCAATGACTCTACTGGCTGGCAATGTTGGCTTTTCTATACATTTTCCACTCATCCACCCCAATATGATCTACCCTGATTGCGTTCCGGTCAGGGCTGTTTATCAGAGCTTAGGCTACCTGGCTACCCAAAATCCTTTTAACTGGGGATCTGAATTAATGAACTCAGGACTTTCTGTATGGGAAGGTTTCTGTGCATTCCACCACAAAATGGTGGGCTCCCTTGCCATCTTCAGTTCCACAAAGCAAGTGTTTACTTCCACGCTCCCCCCGCCCTCCCATATTCTGAACTCATCAAGTCCAGCTATGGAAGGCATCACACAGGATCGCTGGCAACACATTATTTCTGGCTCCTTCTAACAATACCCTCTGAAGTGCAATGACTACATTGCTGTTACTCATCCGTTGTTTTGCAGGATCCAGATGTTTTCCTTCAAGCTACTGCTTCTGTTGTGGGGAGATGCCTCGCTGGGAAAATAATAGCTTTCTCCATAACGATATAGCAGCATGAATCCTGAATTCTAGATGCTCTACCTGTGAGGTTCCCATAAGCATCCGTTTGCCAATGTGGAAACAGAGTTCTAGACTACAGATAAGTCTTATCTGATACTCGTACGAGATCATTAAAGGAGTTTAGTGTGTATTTCATGCTCCATCATGTCTAATGCAACAGTATTGTTCCATGCTTGGCTTAAGTGCGATAAAATAAACATATTTGGCTACGTGTGTTCTGTTTTAAAATGTTGTTTTGGTTACAGTTTCTTTCATCTGCCAAGTACTGCATAGTTTCTCTTTTCCCTTTCCCACAAAAAAAGGGGGGCACATTGTACTTCTGACGTGGTCCAGGACTGTGCTGGCAACACTTCAGCTATGCCAACAAGAATAAGGAATACAGTCAGCAGCCCTGTTTTTAACTGTTTAAAACAAGTCACAGACACATAACGGGCCAGTCAACGCCAACCCTCCCTATATACTGTATAGGGAAATGAGGGCCTTCAAGAGCAAATTAAAGACCTAACTCTACAGGCGAGCCTTCCTAACAGTCATCACTTACTGTTGTTTTGTTGTTGTTGTTGTTTTGGGCCCCATCTTTTAATGTATGTATGTTTGCATTTGTGTGTGTGTGTGTGTGTTTTATAAACCACCCAGAGTCGATATATTATAGATGGGCAGTATGCAAGTCAAATAAATAAATAAATAAATAAATAAATAAATAAATAAATAAATAAATAAATAAATAAATACATACATACATACATACATACATACATACATACATACATACATACATACATACATACATACATACATACATACATACATACATACATAAATGTGTTGAGTGTTTCCCTGTACTTATCGTTTGGGTTTTAAGATTTGCTGGAATCAATCAGAAGCAGAACAAGGATGTGTCACTGGAGACGAATGTTTTGTACAGACAATTGCTTTGTAGAATAAAGAGAAGGCTCGTAATTTTAAAGGCGGAGAGATTTGTGGCTAACTATGTGACATAATCTCCGTAGAACTAGCAGTCTCTGAATTCCTTGAGCTGAAACAGCTGGTCAAAGGAACAAAATGCCATAATAATCAGGAACATGGATCCCGGGGCCACAGTGGGAGCCAGTGCAGCTGGTAAGATTTTACAGTTTGAAAGCATAGGTAAATAAAATCTAGTTTCCAAGGACCCTACGGATCTTCCTTGCTAATTTTTGTTGTGAATAGTGGCATCTGTAAAAAGAAAAGAAGATTCAGTTCTA